ATTGTAATTAAGGTTTGTGAAAAATTTAGTAATGCAAATGTGAAAACCATTAATTACACATGATATTCCTCAATTACCTTTTCAGAAGTTGGGTTGTGACATAATGTAGTACAGTAGGAAATCATATTTATTTGTTGTAGATTATTTGACTAAATCGCTTGAAATAATACCTATAAAAGGAAAACAATCTTGTGACGTTATTAATGCATTTAAGCAAATATTTGCAACTCATGGTGTACAGTCGGAATCATTGCAATTGGCACACACTCTTTAAAATCCCTCGTATTAAGTCAAAATTCTAACCAATAAACCTATTTAGTGCGGCATTTTGCTATTACTGTGTGTCAGATTTGACACATTACGAGGGATATTTATCTGGTGTGTGCCAATTGCAATGATTCCCACTGTACCTGATATTATTGTTGCTGATAATATGCCGTTTGGTTCATATGAGTGTAAGGTTTTTGCAAATGAATTTGATTTTAAAATTCAAACAAGTAGCCCTAGATATTCCAGGTCTAATAGATTGGCAAAAAGGTTTGTTCAAACGGCTAAGAATATAATTCGTAAGTCTGATGATATTTGGGTAGCTTTAATGGAATATCGAAATACTCCTATCACAAGTTTAAAGCGATCACCAGCTGAACTTCTATTTTCAAGAAGACTTAAAACTAAGCTACCAATTGTAGAAAAACAAAAACCTGAAATTCCAGAGTTCAAAAAAGAATTTATATAACAGTGGCGAATCCAAGGGGGGGCACTGGAGGCAAGTGCCCCCCCCCGAGAATTTTTCCTGTTATGAAAAAATCTGTAGAAAGTGTCCTCCGCACGCATAAAAAATATATTCTTTTGACTAGTAACACTTTCTCTCAAGCTTTTAAGATTATTTCAACTGATTGGTTGATTCTGACTGCCTTTCGGTTGTAATTTGATGGCGGCTATTGATTTTGGTGATTGATACAGTACAGAATTGTAAATTTTGATATTTTGATATCTATGTTTCCCTATGTGAGTTTCTTTTTTTAGAATAAGTCTGTGATACTACAGTGTGTCCACTTAAGTTCGCAGCATATGGGAAACTTTTTTTATTATCAATTTTACGAAGAAAAGTTATTCTTTATAAAAGTTTCTGCTTCTTGAAAAAATAGTATTAAACTATTAAAAATTGAAATAGCATGTACAGGGTTTTCAGAAAATAGAAAAATATGCCGAATTTTTTGGTAAAATTAGAAAAAAAAATGGCACGTCACTATTTTTAAAACCTTTGATATTTTTTTCAGATCAAGCAAGTCATATTACAGTCAAAAGATACCTTTCATTATCACAGACCTGCCAAATTTGAAAAAAAAAATAAAATGGAAAAGGGATTTTTGAGCTAATTAAAGAAACGATTTTTTTCTCAAAATTTGACACCCTGTATCTCAGAAACTACGCATTTCCGGACACATGTTTATGGGAACTTTTTTTCTTAAAATATTGTAAGGAATCATATCTTGAAGTTACGAACCGTACTTAGGAAACACCCTGTATATTTTTCTATTTTTTGATCACCTTGTACATGCTATTTCAAGTTTTAGTAGTTTATTATTACTTTTACAAAAAGCAGAAACTTTTATAAAGAATAACTTTTTTCCGTAAAATTGATAATAAAAAAATTTCCCATATGCTGCGAACTTAAGTGGACACACTGTATATTCCTTCGTAATAAGCAGGTATTTTATACCTAGGCACAGGGTCATTTTTAATATTTTCCCACCAATCCCACCCCCCTTAACTTTATTGTGCCACAGTGTATAGAAAAAATGTAAATAAGAAAGGTGTATGGTGTTGAAAAATAGTTCTCAGAAAACATAATTTTGTCCATTGTTGCAGAAAGCTTAATCGACAATTTTTTTTTCAAATGGGACACCTTGTATATTATTGAATATTCGGATTCGACGTGAAATTCTGAGCAGATTTCATGTGACATATACTATACCTAAGTTCAACTGTTTTGGAAATATTGACAGTTGAAATTTGACTTTTTTGCAACTTTGACAGGCTGGGAAACTTAAACGGTTAATTTTACAGCAAAACTGATTTTACATTCTCATTATAAGCACTTCATAGGCTATCCTTTGACACCAACGTTCACATTAAACAGAGATTGAATTTAATTTAAATTTTCAATCATGGATTAAATTCAAAGTTGGTGTCAAATGATTCAAAGTTGATATCAAATGATAAAATAAACCGTTTAGGTTTAACAGCCTGTCAAAGTGTCGAAAAAGTCACATTTCAACTGTCAATATTTCCAAAACAGTTGAACTTAGGAATAGTGAGTATATCACATGAAATCTGCTAAGAGTTTTACGTAGAATGTGAATATTCAATACTTAATATACCCTTAAAAAATATTATTTTGTCTTTTAAACTTTCTGCAACACCCTGTATGAACAAAACTATGTTTTCTGGAAACTACCACCTATACACTTTTCCTATTCACATTTTTTTTATACACAGTGGGACAAAAAAGTTGTGGGGGTGGGAAAATATAAAAAATGACCCTGTACAACCAAATATTGATATTAAATAACGTTAAAAGGCTCTAAAAAGGGGCGTGGCACCCTCCGGCGACTACTAAATTACCACGTTCTCAGGTTAAGTGCCCCCCCGAAAAGCACCTCTGGATCCGCCACTTTTATATAAGGAATAGTATGATAGGCATGCTAGGGAAAGATCAGAATTTAAAGACAGAGAAAATGTTGTATATAGAGATTCTAAGCAGTGGTGCCTAGCGACTATAATAACCAAACATGAGTCTCCTAGGTCTTATTTGATTGACAATGATAACAGCGTGCTGCGACGTAATAGTAATCATTTGTAGATTTCGGGGGCGTCGTTTCGGCTTTTCAGCCGCTCAGCACTGCTACCTTTGCAGATATTTTGTGCGTGATAGTAATCATTTACGTAAGACAATTATTGCACGTGAAAATAAGGATTTGACAAATTATTTAGATAATAATGATTATGATAAAAATAACTTAGGATCTATTGAAGATCCGAATCAAACTTGTCTTTCTGCAGAAAGTAGTCCTATTAGGCCTACTTCTGATTCACATACGCAGACTATGAATAAATTGAAGTCTTATCGTATTGTTAAGAAACCAGGTAAATTTCCAGATTATGTATTAAGAAAAAGTTGAAGTCATTAGTATTAGGTTAATAGGTTTTTATTAATTATTCTATGGTTCCTTTATCAGTATTAGTAATTATATTAGTTACAAGTAGCTATTAGTTTGGGTTAGTTATTGTTGCGGAAATAACCCACAACAGGATTAATTTTTATTATTTCTAATTTAATATAATTTTTTTTCTCTCTTATTTACCATAAAAATAATATTCTAAAAATAGATGCTATTGCTGGACTATTTATCCTGTAAAACCAGCAGCAACAACCCTTTGAACCAATAAAATTGCAGGTTTCTTCATAACCTTATAAGGTAGTGGACCTTTCTCGCCGCTGTGATTCGTCAGCCGCCACATTGTTTCCTAGTTTTTGCGAGCTGTTCCCTGGCAGAGCTAGTCGACGCACATTCTTCAGTACTATTAGAATAAATGATGAGTTCGCGCCCTCTGATGCTCCCCAGAAACAAAACCCCCAAAAACCCCCGTTAGTTCGCGCAATTTATAGTAAAAAATACTACTCTCTGTCCCAAGGCCTGACATGGTCTATATTATTGATTACAGTTCATGTAATTAATCCCTAATTTTTGCAAGTCACCTCGGACGAGCAAAACTCTCTCGTACGCACTTGTTTTTGGCTCTCTCTCTCACTCTCGCCGGGCTCCAACACGCCTGCATATCGTTGTGTTTTCATCTCAGTGGAAAATTCCCTAACTGCCAGTGTGAAAAGTGATAAATGGATAAATAATCGCCTTGTTGATTTATCTGCATGGACCGGATTAAGCAAGTAAGACCGTTACAATTTCTCTAACAGTCGAACAATACTGATTAGTAATTCGCTTGAAATGCACTATAATTTGAAGTGTCTTCTAACGCTTATGCAGAAATTTGTTTCCACACTCGTGAAATTAACATTTGTACATTTGTATATAGACACTGAGCATATATAAAGACTTTTCTTGCACATATTGTTTACCGACTTCCGCAGAAAATTGCTCAAATTGTTAATTCCCCATAATTCAAAGAACTTTCAAGGATCAATAAACATTTTATGATTACAGTGAACTGATTGAAGTTGACGATATTTATGTTTCGTTCACTTAACATTTACCCATAAATGATATTATTATCATTATCAGATTTCCCTACCTTATATAAACCAAGATACTTACTTACTTTAGAAAACTTTGCTTTAGATTAGTAAAAAATTTGTAGTTCGACTGGACGTCCAATTAGGAATTTTCAGATAGGATTTGATTGATCTATATCGAATTACTTTCATTTATGAATTAAATTGATAATTATTCTATTTCAGCGTTTTATTTGTATAAATGAGAATCAAGGCACCCCTAACTCAATACAAGGCTTAAATGATCCAATACCTAGTGGTTAATTTTTACAGTCAGTCAAAGTAAAAACTTTTGGCATCCCTGGTGCGATTTGACTAAAGCCCAAAAAGGGGCAATAGCTAGTTATAGTATTAGTTTATTTAGTTTTTCTGTTCAGTGAGGAAAGGGGAAGGTGTAATAATAGATAAAGTGTTATTTAAATTAATGTACACAGTAGACTGGTGGACATCACCTAGAATAAATAACGAGGTGAGTTTCAGTTGTCCTGTTGATATAGAGATAATAATAATTGGGTTAGATCTTGTTGGGATCATATTTATAATTTAATAAAGAACTTGATACAATATTACAAGTGCAATGGTAACTTCTAATCAGAAAGGCCTGATCTACATTATATACAAAATTCAGCCAATTCTGATATAAACACAATTTCCGTAAACTTTGGGCAGGCTCCTTTCATTTTGGGATATGAAATAAAAGGCACGATAGGTTTCTTTATATTAGTTTAATAGTAAAAAATACAACAATAATAAATGAAAAGATAAATTTGATAAATTACAAAATATAAATTGGTTAAGTAAAATTATAACCAATAGGTAGGTAAATAAAATAACAACAAATTTCGTTGATAAAAATTTGACCAGAAAACAAAATATTTATGTATTTTCGGATCAAAAATGATTTCAGCTTTCAAGCATTTTTGGAAATTGTAAGCGACATTTTCCAAAAATACCACCATTGGAAAACTAAATAGATCTCGAGGTATAAAAAATTATATTAATTATGGTTAATAATTGGTTAAACTGATCCTTTATGCTGCTAGATATTAGTATTTGTTATTAAAGGTTTAGTATGTAATCTAAACTCCACTAGATATAATCTATGAAAAAATTTAGTATCAAAATCGGAATGTTCAGATATTATTCATTAAAAAACTATGGTTGAGCTTTTTTTCTAGCTAATTAATTCCTTCTTAGATTACATTATCTACGATTGACAATATGTTTTAAGTAGAGGTCCTTTTAACAATTTTTGTTAGAATTCTTTTACTAGAGTTATTAAGAGTCTAATTCTTTTTCCGCTATTTTTAGGCTATTTTCATTTAAAGTTGAACAAAAAAAAGGAGCTTCTAGCTTCAGCCGGCCTTAGGGTGAATACATATAATATATTTTTTCTAGATAAATATACTAACATTTATAAAATTGAATAAGTTCACGTTAAAGTATACATTATTAATTAAAGCTTATAACTGGTAAACCAACTTCTTCTTGTGATTAAGATATTTCAATATTTAGCAAAAGAAATTAAAATTACAACGTCAATCCTGCGCAAATTGAAAATTTTGCTGGAATGGTGACGAATTTAAATTCGCAGGAACATAGTCAAAAAAATCAGTCGTAGAAACTGGCATACTTTATAAAGATTTCAAAAAAAAAATCTAATCTACAACTAAACATTAGCACCAAAAATAGTTGCAATTTGCACAAAAAGTATTGAGTACATTTTCGTACCCTGTTATTATTGCTAATATGATCATAATCTTATTTATTTGAAACACCTCAAGCCTTATTCTGAATTACGGGGCCGGGTATCCTGGACAAATTGTTTTCAGGTCGCGAATCCTTCCGAGGACTCCTGAACGACATTCTCTCATTATTTTGCCGAGTGAATTTCGGAGCAGCGTAATCCTCCTCGTTGTCCAGGGTGCTGAGGCTGCCATACTTACGAAGTAATTCTTGAACCTGGATTATAAAATTCGTATTAGGATTTTTAATTTATTAGACAATATTGACAAACACAATATGACAAATTTGCAAGAACTGTAATTCATTATAGGTAAATTAACGAACTAGAGGTAGATACTCGAATTATATGATAACAAGATAGAAAGCTTAAAAGAGGCTACCAAAAAGAAACGTATTGGCTACCAGGCAAATCGAATGACAACAAGTTATGATAAAGCGTGGAAATCGAAGACATTTAACGAGAAAAATATCGAAAAATCCAACACAGAGAAGAAGTGTAAAAGTAGAAGATTTAAAAAACATGTAGCAAGATTAGCCTGGAAGTTTAGTGGATTGATCTTCGCTTCAGATGGTTGAATTCAGCAGATTCAAAGGGTTTGCTTGGTTCCTCCATCGGGCGCCTTCCCAGGTGGTGGATAGGGGAATACTTCCCAGATATGAGTGGTATCGGGGAAATCAAATACTCGGGGCGGACCAAAAACTAGCACTGCAACGTCTGTACCCTTATTGGGCGGTTGCAACAACGTCTGACCTAGAATGGGCTGTTGAGAATATTTCCTAATTTATCAAGTAGTCTTGATGTAGTTTTGTACCAACATATAATTATGATAAGAAGAGTTCAGTTTTTTTGTTTGGTGTACAAAACCTTATTTTTAACTTGTCATTGTTGTCAAAAAAATACCGCCAATGTGACACGTTATTTGTTCCACGTTAAGTTTTTTGTTCTTTGTTAATAATAAATGTTAAATTATCAATTCGGAATACATCGTATTATATATTTCCAAGTTCCCAACATCAAAAATAATCGTAACAGGTAATGGGCCCAGACACAAGAGAAACAAGAGGTATATTGCAGTTGAGTAAAGACTAATTAAAATTAGCAGTACCTAAACATTTACGTAACAGTAAAAAAAATTGAATGTCCTAACAGTAGGTACCACAGTTAAACTCACTAAAATTCAATAATTGGAAGCTCAGAGTTGGGGCACCATTGGGGGAAAAACAACTTGAAGATAAACTAGAAAAGACAATTGATGATTTCTCTGGAGATAGAGAAGAAGCAGATTTCAAATTAAGAGATGCTAAGGCTAAATCCATCATTGTGCAATATGCAAGTGATAAACAAGACATAATCAAGAATTCAAAAACAACCAAGGACATGATAAAATCCTTAGAGGATGCATTCCAAAGAAGAAGCGTTTTTACCAAGCTAACACTGAAGAAAAGATTGCTGACACTTAAATACAAAAGAAATGAAAAGCTAGAAGACCATTTTCAGATTTTCGATAATATAATTAGAAAGCTGGAAAGCATTGGGTCAAAAGTGGAAGAAGAAGATAAAGTTTGCCACCTTCTATTAACCCTCAATGAACAATATGACTCGGTTATTACTGCAATAGAAACAATGAACAGTACAGTCACTATGGAGTTTGTGAAATATCGTTTGCTGGATGAGGGCCAGAGTAGTAACCAGCATCTTTCAAAGCACAACCTTATAATTGTTATAAATGTGAGAAAGTTGATCACAAAATTACAGACTGTCATCAGAATCAATCTTTAGAGGTCGAAGAAAAACTTATAGAGGATCCACGTTGTAGAAGTAGAGGTCAACCACGAACCAATAATGTCCAAAGTCAAGCAGGATCTCATGCAAACCAGGCAGATGAAATTGCATTCATTGCATTGAACATGGGAAATATATAACGCAATTTAAATCGTTTTGTTTTAGATTCAGGTTGTACCCAACACATGTATGGTAATGGGCGAGCTAGAAGAATGTATGTCAGACATCAAGGAACTGGAACATGAAGTTAAAATAGGGACGGCCAAAGATAATGAAATATCATATGCAAGAAAGGTAGGTACAATGAAAGTAATTTGTCAAAGAAAGGAAATAACAATAGAGATGGTATAAAAAGAATGACTTGTCATGGTTAAAAGTATTTGGAAGCCCATGGGCAGTAACTTTACCAAGACCAAATAAACTGGACAAATGTGCACAACCTTGCATAATGATAGGATATAGCGGAGCAGGATATCGATTATAAGATTATGAGAAGAATATAATTTTTGGTTCAAGAGATGGTAAGTTTAATGAAAAGCAGACAAATTACAATAATATATTGAAAAATTAAAATAATAATGACAAAAAAGATATAATAGGTCTGTTTCTGCAGAAATCACAAACCAGTCAGAGTAAATTTCATTGGTTGAAATTAGTTTTCTGACTGTTTCTGACTGTTTCCAACCAATGAAATTCGCTCTGACTGGTTTGTGATTTCTGCAGAAACAGACCTAATAATACAGATTGAGAAAGAACTAGGTATAGAAGAAGGAGAAAACAATATTGAGATTGAAGTTTATTAAGATGAAAGCGAATCAAATGATAGTAATGGAGAAGAAATGGATAGTCATATGAGAATCTAAAAGAAACTATACCAACAACGGATGAAACATCTAGAGGTAGACAGATTAATAAACCAAAATATCTTAATGATTATGAAATCTAAAATGCATATTGCTTAATATCTACAGATCACAGTGACTCAGTAGAGTACAAAGATGCGATAAAAATAAAAGAATGGAGACAAACTATCGAAAAAGAATTACATTCTCATACTTGGACAGAAGCAGATTTACCACCTGAAAAGACTGCTATTCAGACAAAATGGGTATTTAGGACAAAAGAAGACAGTATTAAAAAAGCCAGAATTGTTGCAAAAGGATTTCAGGAGGAGGATCCATTTAATCCAGTATATTCATCAGTTGCCAGAATATCTTCAATAAGATTATTAATGTCTATAGCATTGCAAAAGAACTTGGAAATACGACAGTTAGATATTCCTACTGCTTTTTTGAATGGAGAATTGAAGAGTGACATATACATTTATGCACCACTAGGATCAAAAGTCAAAACACATGTATTAAAATTAAATAGAGCACTGTATAGACTCTGAGAGGCACCAAAAGTTTGGAACGATACATTTAACGATTTAGCTGTAAAGAATAAGTTTGAACGTTCAAAATATGATTGCTGTTTATATTGTAATGAGAATGTATGGATTTTGTTATATGTAGATGATATGTTAGTAGTTGGAAACAATAATGGAGTGGAAGAAACAGTCAAACTATTGAAACAATATTTTCAAGCAAAGGATTTTGGACAGATTGAAAACTTTCTAGGAATGAATGTTAGTAGAACAGAGAAGATAGAAATAAATCAAAGAAAATTTATAGAAAAGCTGCTAGTAACAATTTCAAAATGGATCGAAGAATGTAAAGGGAAAAACACTACAATAGATAAAAGATTCCAATGTAATCCAGATAGCAAAATCGTAGAAGTGCCATTTAGGCAATTGATTGGAGGATTAATGTATCTACCAACAACAACCAGACCAGATATATAATAACATTTTCGGTTTTCAATTTGAGCAGATTCTTGGAGAAACCAACTGCAGAAACTTGGATCGTTGGCAAAAGAGTTCGCATTGGAAGAAGCAGAAGAAAGCGTAAAAGCACCATTCGATAGTCATTTCACAAAAACTTAATACGTGAAATCTATTAGGCCTTCATATGTTGACTGATGGAAGAAAATATGGCATTTGTGTCTCTTTCAAAAGCTGATAGAAGAATTTGAGCTCTTAACCCTCTTTGTAAACATCAATATTCCAGAAACAAAGTAGTTTGACGCCTTTCCAAAAAGAAATACCATTGTAAGTTAGGATAAAGCAGGGCTTATCAAAAGAGCCAGTAACAGTTCCCAAAATAGTTTTCTGGGATCCAAATCGGATTTCAAGTATGAACGAGATGAGACCGACAGGAAGGTAACCTTGCTCTTGATGAAAAAGACTCACATCTGAAATAGAAGGTCGTAGTTTGTCCCATAGTTCGTGAGAAAGTCTGCTTGCTCTATCAAGAGATGAAATTTCAATTTATTTGTCTTACGTTAAGCGAGAAATCGTTTAGTGATATTATTTATATATGACTCAGAAGGCTGATAGGTCTGTAAAAGATTGGATACCTATTACAAACAATTAAAAAAAAGAAGCACTAGAACATGAGATAACAATAGCAGAAAAATAAGAGCGCAGAAGTAGAAAATAATGAGAAAATAGAAGAAGAGATGAAAATCCCTGAAACTAAAAAATGAGTAAGCAGTAGGTACAGTGGGAATCATTGCAATAGACCTATTTAGTTTGTGTTGAACAAAGATGCAAATAGGAATTTGAGCCCGCTAGACAGAGAAACCATATATGTTTCATGCGTCAAGGGAGTAACAATTAAAAGGTGCGCAACATTAGTGCGAGAGAGACATTTGAAATACATTTTATGTTCTTGTCTTGTGTACATTGGGGCAGGTTCCGATAGATGATTCACCGGACCTAATCGGGCCATCTTTCCATCGTTATTATTCACATGTCTAGATAAAGAGACACGGATCAAGCGACGAGGAATCGAACCTAGTAACTGAACTCGCCCCAGTATGGTAACTGGGTTAGGTTGATTATTTATTTATTCATTTATATATTTTTTTCAAGCTTCTAGCTTCTTTTGGGTTTTGATATGGAGATATGGTTATGGAATGAGTGCACCATCAAAGCAAAATGCCTAAGAAGCCAAAAGAAGAATGATAGCCCACATAGGCTGCATTTGAAATTCTCATCAGTAGTAAATACATTTTCAACTAACTTATAGACATTAAAAATGTACAGCAAGTTAGGTAAGAACTTAAGAGATAAGAATTTTACAAAGAAAAAGCATAGATACTTATGTACCTATATGAGGTTGGAAGTAGTAGCGAAAGTAGTTCTGAGAAGAGTGAAGTTTCATCTGGTTCATATATAGACTCAATAGTGTTAGATAATATAAATTATAGGCAAAATAAGGACATTTGGATATCAGACTTGATAATTAATAATGAATTTGTTACTTTCAAGCTTGATACAGGCGCAAATTGCAATTGCATACCGGCAAAAACTTCAAGAAAGTTAAAACTTGAGAATAAAATTATCCAAAATAATTTGTCGCTAAATACCTTTTAATTGAAAATAAGAAACAGAACATAAAATTTGTAGTTGTAGAGTGTGACACTCGGTGTGACAGTATGCCCATTTTAGGATTAAATACTTGCACTAAGTTAGAATTATTGAAAAGAGTAGATTTTGTTTAAGTTCTAGATGAGAAACAAAATTTTTTGATTAAGAATGCCTGAGTATTTGAGGGCACAGGCAAAATTCCCTATAAATATAAGATTGTTCTAGCATCCAATGCACAGCCTGTAAGTAGCGCTTGTAGAAGAGTGCCAGAGGCAATACGATCGAGGCTGAAGACTTGAAAAGTAGAAAAATAATTTCTAAAATGGATGAACCTACCGAATGGGTCAATAACATAGTTATTGTGAAGAAGCCTTCGGGTGCGTTACGTATTTGCCTTGATTCAGTTCATTTGAATAAGTATGTAAATATGCTTTGATCGATATCCGATACCAACACTTGAGGAATTGACACTAAAGATTTTTACAGTTTTAGACCTAAAGAAAGGATTTTATCATGTTTCCCTTGATGCTGCAAGTAGAAAATTATGTAAATTCATAACACCTTTTCGCAAATATTCTTTTAATCGACTCCCATTTGGGCTAAGGTGAGTCCTGAAGTTTTCCAAAAAATAAATGACAAAATATTTGGAGATTTGCCTATCGGGATATATTTTGATGATTTTATAATAGGGAGAATAAATGAGGAAGAACATGATAAGATTCTTGAGGGGATGATTAAACGGGCAGATAAGTATGGAGTAAAATTCAATAAAACCAAAGTGCAATAGAAAGTTTCATAGGTTTGCTATATAGGTCAGGTTTTCTCAGTAGATGGTGTACGATCCTGAGTATGTACAGCCTGTTTTAGCACTAGAAGAACCTAAAAATAAGAAAGAGCTATTGAGGATACTAGGTATGGTTAACTACCTTTCTAAATATTTGCCTAGATTGTCTGAGTTGTTGTCTCCATTGAGAAATCTGATAAAAAATTATGCTGAGTGGACATGGACTAAAGATCATGTTTCTGTTTTTTCCAAAATTAAAACTATATTAACTCAAAATCCCTAATTTAAAAATATTCGATTCCAAATTGCCAATAGAAATTCAGACAGATGCCAGTCAAAATGGTATTGGGGGGTGTCTTTTACAAGAAGGTAGACCTGTGGTATTTTGTTCACGTAGTTTGACTGAAACCGAACGTAAGTGGGCTCGAATAGAAAAGGAGTATTTGGCTATTTCTTTCAGTATAACCTTTGGTTTCTATTTAAGAAAAAGATATTTGCAAAATTAGTTCTCGCTTACAAAGGTTCAAGTGGAAAATGTTGAAATATAAATTTAAAATCGAGTATCTGCCTGGCAAATATATTATGTATATTGTGGATCTCTTGTCCAAGTCATACTTGAAGCATGCTGTGAAGAATGACGTTGAGATGAGAGAAGTAATACACTCTATAGATTTTAATCAACCAATCTTTCCACAAAAACTCCAGGAGCTAAAAACTGCCACAGCTAAAGATTCCGTAGTAACTCAAATTATTGAATACTGTATATCCGGCTGGCCATCAAATAGGAAATCTATTTTCAATCCAGAAACTAAATCTTTTTACAAAACTAGGCAAGACTTACACATAAACAATGGTTCACTTTACCATAATTTCAAGTTGGTTGTTCCCAAGACATTAAGATTCGAGATGTTGATAAAATTACATGTGGGACATTTTGGTAATGAAAAATCTAAAGCAAGAGCCAGAAAATATATTCCATTGGCCTGGTCTCTCAACAGACGTGGATAATTTTGTATCTAAATGCAAAAAGTGTTTAAAATTTGGCAAAAATAATGTAAAGGAGCTATTAATTCAGCATTGGAGGCCACAAGTTCCTTTTCAAAAGGTTGCAGCAGATATTTTGACATATGCCGGTAAAGACTATCTCGTTGTGATTGATTACTGTAATAACTGGTTAGAGTTGGTTATTTTGGAAAATAAAACAGCTGGGGAAACTATTTATACATCTTGAGAAAATTTTTCCTGCTAATGGCATACCTACCAAAAGTCTTTGTTTCTGACAACACGCCATTTGATGTGGAGTTAATTACATTCAGCCCAAAATATCCTAAATCAAATGGGCTTGCTGAGCAGCAGGAATAGCAAAGTCCACTCTCAAAAAGTGTGTTCATTCTGAGAGTGATATTTATAAGCCTATGTTGGAATATAGGACGTCTCCACTAACTGGTCTCGGAATCTCAACTTCAGAATTGTTGAATAAAAGATTATTAAGATCATGATGAAACGTACCTACCTACTTTATTCTCCAAGAAACAAACGCCCCCGTACCAAATACAACTGGGGAATTATTGCAACTAGTAGATACGTCCGTGTATTAAAAATAATAATAAAATATAAAACTGAAATATCAACAGAAAAGAACAACGAAACAAAACACCACACAAAACCAGTTCAACAGCTGTTTGTGTTATAGAATGCCATTACTGTCATTTCAATATTTCATATCCTTCAATTTGTGTACCAATTGCAATGATTCTCACTGTACTTATTACTGTACTTATCAGTGCAAAAGAAATTATTCACCATTGCTAAGGAAAAGAAGACAAAGCTGTAGAGTACTTTGCACCTTTCTCAAAAGATGCGGACTCCTAAGGTAAGACAGGGCTGCACCAACAAAGTGATGGCACAATGGGCCACCATACGCGTCTACGTGCTGTCTGAATTAAGGATTAATTGATATCGTGAATGTTGACAGACTGGTTAATCAAAACTGACGTCGAGCTATCGACGTGACGTGCCTTTTTTCTCACGATTTTGTGTTTCAATTTTCAAAACACGGCTGCCAACTAATTTGCGACGTTATAATTTAACTTAAATCGGCAGTCGGATAATGAAAGGTTTACACGACGTTGGATAACGTCGCTAATCCGACTTTCCAAGGATGATTCAAATTACACCATCAGTACCTATGACAAAATAAAGACCATAAAACAGTGGCGCAGCAGAAATATTTTTCGCAAAGGAGAAAAAAATAATAAGGATTCCTTGTTTTTATCCCTCTAAAATTACTGTTCTTGCAAATTTGTAGTAAAAACAGCACACTTTTTCACAATGAACTGATTCATGCACCATTAAGAAAGTGAAATAATTAATGCCAATCGTGAGCCTAAAAAAAGCCGAATGAATGTGTAAAAAAACCACATATATCTACAGTGGACAACGTAGTTTTGACATGCAATTCCAATTATTTAAATCTTGTTTCATTTAAAATAATTTCCTATGAACTATTGTTGTCAACACTGCACAACCATACTTGTTTAGTTTTTTTCGTTTGTATTGCGATGTGGGTTCCTGATCTTTGCAGTTTAGTAGGCTGTATGGTAAAATTTTGGATTAGTAATTTTGAACAATGCTTCTTACACCTAACTACACATTGTTATTCTATTTTACCTGCAGCGCGATGGTCTCATCATCATCAGCCTTCTTAACGGCATTCAAAAGTTCCTGTTTCAGCTTGCTTTTAGTTGGAGAAGAATTAGCCGAAATTGAGGTCCTACGTTCGCCCAATGCTGAAACGCTTCTCCTAGCTAAAAATTGAATCAAATAAAATTAATTTAGTAGCATAAATATTTTCTGAATGTTACCATTTGTATTTCTCTGGAAAGGCGATACAAAAGTATCAGTTCCAACGCTGGGCCTTGTAGGCCTCTGTCTTCCATTCCAAGTATTAGTTTTGCTGTCAATTTTTTTAACTGCAGGTGGGGCTTTTTTAGGTGCAACTTTATCAGTACTGCTTGTTCTCCTAAGTACTCCACGTTCCTCTGGTTTTGGAGAACCTCGAACAGAATGTACCGGAGAACCCTTATTTTGGCTAGGCTTTTGATTGTTTAAAATCGTCTTTTCACTATCAGTTTCTGTGGTAGGTGAAGACGGCATAGATTTTGGAGGTTCAGGTGTTCTTCGTAAAAATTTTGGGTCTCCTTCGTATATTCTTTGGGAGAAATTTGTTTTGCGAAGGCCCACGTCATTTAGTTCATCTTCTGTGTAAATGTGCTGATGTTCTTCATAGAAGAAAATTTTGAATAATCGGAAAAATAAAATAAAATGTAAATATTCTTACCATTTTCTTCAACATCTTCAGCTGAATTCTGACTATAAACAGAAGACCTTTTCTTATTTTTGTCTTGAACAATTCCCAAACTTCTGTAACCTTCGTCTGACATTTGGGACGAAGTATCGCTGTGATTATCGCTACTTTGCGATTCGCTGTTGACTTGAAGGACTGCTTCTGATTTCATGACCTACATTTGAAAAACAAAACAAATATTATGCAAACAACAAATTTAAAAAAAATACATACCTTGCTATTGTCTGCAGGAATATTTATGCTTGCAACGTGTTTCGATTTAGGAGAAGTCGGAATGAAAGGTAAACTTTGAGGGCCGGAATTTTTTACAATGTGCTGCGGACTTTTGTTGGTTGCCAGTTTTGTGTGGTGGGTGGAGGTGTAATTCGGCGTTGGACTTCTGGATCTAACAGAAATAACATGATCATGGTCACACTAACATCCAAATATTAATTGAAAGGAAAAAGTTTTTAAGTTTTAAAGTAAACATAAAACTATTCTTAAGCAGACTTTAAAGTACCAACATGCTTCCTCTTATCACGGTGAAAAGTCTTGTAATTAATTGTTACACAGGGCACAAGTTGAATTGACATTATTGAAGGAGAAGGCGCCATTATGAGAGGTTGATGAATAATGGAAAGCAGAGATTAACACCTGAAGTATAGTGCTAAACTTAGGACCCGAAGCTTTCTGTGGCTTTCAACAGATTCTCCTCAAAGCTTTATTTTTTTTACAGCTTTTTCTGATTCGTCCAATTATTAACGAGGCTGCCTATAATTTAGAAAATTCCAATTCCTCCATTATTTATCTTATTCTGTGATTTTCTTGCTGTTCGATGTTCCAGCTCTAAGCAAATGTTGGTTTTCTCAAGTGCTTCCATAAGTTTTGTAGTAGGACATATTGTAAATTAAATAGTTTTTCCATCACCTATATAAATGCAAATCAGTCGTTTCTGGATCTAGTAGTAGCTCCAAGACCACTTTGACTGCTTTGATTATTTTGTCAATGTTTCTTCTAATGTGCTTTCTTTTGACTTTTATAATTGAATTTGAATAGATAGAGGTAGTTACCTGTTGTGTGTTGGAGGGACCAAACTTTTCCTTGGGAAATTGGGACTGACTGATCTTCTAGAATCTGCGTATAAATGGGACGGCGATCTGGATCTGGACCTATTTATGGAATTCATCGGTGGCCCCAGGCTGTTGGGACCGCTTGCAACGCCGTTGATCAACGGTGGAAGGGATGCTGGTGAAACTGCAGTTCTGAAATTGAAGGAAATAATTTACTCAATTTTCATTCAATGTTTCTGTGTTGATATTTATAACAAAGGGGATACACCTACATTTGTCACAAGGGCACGTACTAGATATTATATTTGGCAGTTCTGAATTAACGAATGGAATAAGTGAAATGAGATGGCCAGACACTGGTGATATAAACATCGAGGATTATAGAGTTCTCTTTTCAGGCACTACGAATAAAAGACATGAACACGGTGTGGGTTTTGTCTTGAACAAGAAAATAGCGGAGTGTGTGAAAGCCTTTATACCCGTATCAGAAAGAATAACACTCATCCAAATAAGAGCGAAACCGGTTGACATGAACATCATACAAATATACGCCCCTACGCTGGATAAACAAAATGAGGAAGTGGAAAATATGTACACAACAGTCAATGATATACTAAAAGAACTGAAGAAGCATGATATCACAATTGTAATGGGCGATTTTAAGTCAAAAGTGGGAGAAGGTCATACATCAGACGTTATAGGATCACATGGACTAGGTGGAAGAAACAAAAGAGGGGGCACACTTGAAGTTTTTGCAGTAACAAATGAACTCGTAGTAATGAACATTTGGTTCAAACTGCCGCCAAGAAGATTATATACGTAGAAAGCACCTATGGATGAACCGGGAAGAAAAGTCAGAAACCAAATTAACTTTATGATAGTCAATAAGAGGTTTAGAAATAGCTGCCTATCCCTCAAAACATATCCAGGAGTTGACATTGGATCAGATCACTGTCCCTTGGTTGGTGTATTTAAAGTGATAATGAAGAAGGTCGACACTAATATGACTCCAAACTATGTCCTTCAGAGACTCAAAACCCCAGCAATAGAGGAAGCAGCAGCAATATTGCTCAACGACAATATTCAAGCAAATGAAAACAACAACGTCGATATGGAACAACAAATTAAAGCAAGCAGTAGAAACAGTAAAGAAGGAAATATTGAAACCGGACAAAATAAAGGAAATCCAACGGAATATTACCGTATACAATGCATTATAAAACAGGAAATAAGGAAAGCGAAAGAAAAAGAATTAGAAGAAAAATGTCGCGAGATCGAACACCATCAAAACATGCGCGATGACTTCAACGTTCACAGGAAAGTCCGAAAAATTAACAAGGAAAGGCCACAAAAACAACTGTAAACCTTTGGTCAACGAAGCAGGAGAAATCATCATTGACGCGGAGAAAAAGAAGGAGGCCTGGAAAACATATCTAGAGAATCTATTGCATGATGTACGCGAAGAATAAAAACCAACTGTAGGAGAGGGACCGGAAATTCTTGTAGACGAGGTGAGTCCGCCATTTCGGAAATGAAGCCACGGAAAGCAGATGGTCTGGATCAAATACAGACTGAACTCTTAAAGTTACTGAACGAGGATAAAATCAAATGGCTGACCAGAATATTCAACAACATCTACTTAACAGGAGAAATTCCAGCGGATTGGATAAGGTCAGAATTTATCACACTGCCGAAAAAAGCAAGTGCCAAAACCTGGGGTGATTTTAGAACAATAAGTTTGATGATTCATCTCTTAAAGCTGTTTCTCAAGATAATACACAAAAGAATATATAGACCTCGTGAATAACAGATTTCACCGAACCAGTTTGGGTTCGTGAACGCCGTCGGTACATGGTCGATATACTGAAGCAAATAGGAATGAACCAAAAAGATTTAAACATAATTATAAACTTATATTGGAACCAGACGACAGTTTTGAGAATTGATGGCAGTCACAGAGAACAAATAAATATACTACGAGGAGTGAGGCAAGGCTGTTTTTTGTCGCCCATCTCATTTAACGTATACTCAGAATACATCTTTCGAGAAGCACTAGACAACATTGAGAAAGGAATCACTATAAACGGTACTAAACTTAATAACATAAGATATGCAGATGACACCATCATGTTTGCAGATAGTCTTCAAGGATCACAAAGTTTGATGGATTGGGTGACCAGAATTAGCTCACAGTACAGGTTAGAAATGAACATAAACAAAACCAAACTTCTCATAGTAAGTAAAAGAAACATCGCGGAAGACAGTTTATACATCAATCACAGTAGAATACAAAGAGTAAGGCAGTACACATACTAGGGGACAATCATTAACGAGAGATGGGACAACTCTCAAGAAATACGATGTCGCATCGAAAAGGCCCGCTCTGTGTTTATTAAAATGAGCTCGCTTTTCAAAAGCCATAATCTATCCTTGGACATGAAGCTGAGACTCTTGCGTTGTTACGTTTTCTCGGTCCTTCTGTATGGCGTGAAAACTTGGACACTTACTAAAAAGACTGCCAGGAGAATTGAAGCTTTCGAACTCTGGCTGTACAGGATACTGAAAATATCTTGGACACCAAAAAGTACCAACATAGAAGTAATGCGTCGGATGAATAAAGAACTAGAACTGTTGGATACCATAAAATGTCGGAAACTTCAGTATTTCGGCCACATAATGAGGAACCCAAATAGATACGGGCTGCTACAGGAAATCCTACAAGTCAAAATTAATAGCAGGAGAGCACCTGGCCGAAGGAGAATATCTTGGCTAGCAAATCTTAGAACGTGGTTTGACAAATCAACAGTAGAACTTTTCCGAATCGCCATCAACAAAGTAAGAATAGCCATGTTGATAGCCAACATCCGGAACGGATAGGCACTTGAAGAAGAAGAAGAATTAACGAACCATTTCGGTCTGCTGATCTCCTCGAGCTTCCAGGGATGATATAATCAAAACATATAATTTTGAGAAACGCTTCACAGTAGTGATAAGTAGCAGGAGAGAATGGGAAAGAAACGCCACATCCATTCTTACAATGCATCAGAACGCCATCAAATGGTATACTGATGGGTCAAGAACTGAACAAGGGACCGAAGCCTGAGTACTTGGGCCAGTAATCAAGTACTCTGAAGCAATAAGTAAACACCCAGACATATTTCAGGCGGAAATAAACGTTAAAGTAGATGTGCTCAGTTCAATCTTGACAGAAACTACAAAAAGAGTCCTAATTTTCTCTGGGCGACATAGGATACCTAACTATTTTAGGGTGTTCCAGGATATATCCAATCCAATTCAAGGATTTCCAGAGATATCCGGGGAGTTACGAGAATATCCATGTTGAAAACCTTTGGAAATTCTGGATTTTTTTTTTCGGATGCATTTCAAACGGATATACGACAAAAGGACGTGGAAATTTGAAAGTGCGACAAAAGGACACGGCAATTTGGACGCGCGACAAAAGGACGAGTACGACAAATGGACGCGTGATTAATTGGACGCACGACATTTGGTTGCAAGTCATTTGGACGCAACAATAATAACTTGCATATTCGAGTACCTGAATTCTTAGGACTCACCTTTTTTACATTAAAATGACTAAATGAGTATTAAAATATTTTCTGCAAAAATAATAATTTGTATTATCAATCTATATGTAGTAGGTAGGTACCTGAATTTTTAGAAGTAACCTGAACTATGTAAAATTATGTTGTGTTTCCTCATAATAGTAATTGGCATTATCAATCTATGTGTATAAGTAGGTAGGTACCTGAATTTTTAGAAGTAACCTGTAATAATTGAATGTAAGTATACGTTAATCCCTATAATATATAATTATCCGCCCTAGGCTCCTACTATTCAGTTATTTTCTATCTGTTGGAGTTACTTTGAAATGGCGCTTCAGTTCGTCAAAAGTCAGAAAGGCAACGACATGTTAGCGTATAACGGCTAAATTCATAAAAAAAGAACATGCCATTGGAGAATGGAAATGTGCCAACTACAACAAGTGCGAATGTCCCGGAAGAGTACACACAGTGCAAAGTGAACTTTCGAAAAGTACAGCTCATAATCACGTCGTTGATGCTGCAACACTAGAATCAAAGATCGCTGTTAATTCTCTGAAGGAGAGGGCCAAACAAGTTGGAATGACCCGTCTCTTGCATGAAAAGAACAGTACAGCGAGTGCGACAAAAATAAGAAGTTGCACCTCTGCCAATCCCACAAATCTGACTGATCTTCGCATTCCTGTCGAATTTACCCAGAATAGTGTCGGTGAACCCTTCCTTCTATCTGACAGCGGTCCTGGTGAACAGAGAATACTATTATTTTCAACACAAAGGAACTTGGAATTGATGGAAAATTGCGATCATTGGTACGCCGATGGAACATTCACATGCACCCCAAGATCATTCATCCAACTATATACCATTCATGGAGTGCAATACAGTAATATCATTCCAACCGTCTATACGCTACTTCCAAGTAAAACTGAAGAAACATATAGACGTCTCTTCCATTAATTAAAACGGCTCAAACCGGGACTGCGACCAAGGACTATTATGATAGACTTTGAGAGATCTAAATGCGATCCAGAAAGAATTCCCAGATGTGGTTATACGTGGTTGCTTCTTCCATTTTACTCAGTGTGTTTGGAGACACATCCAAAGTTCAGGATTACAAGTGCGGTATACCCAAAATTCCGATTTCGCTTTGGAATTGAGGAAATTGGCAGCGCTATCTTTTGTACCAAGTGATAACGTTGTAGCTGCATTTGAAGAACTGCTTGATAGTGCTTTCTATAGGGAACATGAGGAAGTCCAGCTGCCTGTTATCAATTATTTTGAGGATACATGGATAGAACGTTGCGACAGAAAAGACCGCCTTCATTTACAATAAGTCTATGAAATTGTTTTAAATTAGTAGAGGAAGATATACCCCGGACGAGCAACTCAGTTGAAGGATGGCATAACAGTTTTTCTTCTGTGCTTGGTGCGGCACATCCAAGTATATGGAAGTTTATTAATGCCTTGAAAAAGGAAGAAAGTTCGAACCATCTGAAAGTGGACCAATTGATAGGAGGGTATCATGCACCAAGTAAGAGAGTTTTCAAAGATACGGCAAAAAGAATTAGACAGATCGTTTCCGAGTACGAAAACCGGCCGATATTAGAATATTTACGAGGGATTGCTTAT